TTGGCGGGCCACATGGCAGCCCGCAGGCCATATGTTGGACAAGCCTGATCCAAAGGAATTCTTTATTGTCAGCTTCTCCTATAAGTAAAATCAAGGTTTATGGCCAACATTTTTAAAATAAGATGCCTGAAGTTAGGTACCTGAATGGGGTCAGACACTGAACAAAGAAATTGGATAACTGCATTAAGCCATTATACTTCATAAAATTCAACAAAAATTTCAAGGTTGAAAAGTGACAAAACGAAACTTCTAATTTTTTGAGTGTTGTCCATAGGTGGCTTAACAATCACTAGGAAGTCATGCTGCTACATAATGAAACATTGATACATCTTATTAGGCAAGGGAGTGGTTTTAAAAACCAGTCCTGGATTATCAGTATAAAATCAGCTAAAATAACGCAATTCATGAGGTCATTCTTTACGCCCTCAAAGAATTTAGATTTGAGCAGTGACTTGTATATTTCTAAAGTTTAAAAAAGAATGACACACACTTGCTTCCGTTTTCAACACACTTAAGTTTTTCTTCTATGCCACAGTTAATTGTCTGAAGAGAAAAGCCAGCATAGTGATAGTAAAAATTGGAAGGGGGAAGGGGGGAAGAGAAATTTCCAGGAGGTAACAGACAACCCTTTTGAAGTTAGGTGAAGAAGATGGTTTCTCAGTTTTTCTGAAGTTTTCTTGCATAGTTGTGCTGCATATAAGAATATGCACCAATATATACAGATCTCTGTGCTAGCTTTTTTCCTCAGTCCTGGAGGTGGCTAGACATATCAAGACGTCCTACATCCATCCACAAATATGGAAACAGTCTGTACTCAGAGACCAATGCAAAAGGCCAAAGACAGATAGTGCTGGAACTACCTAGACCTGAGGAAGCGTAAGAGTATACGGGTCCAAAATGTTGGGATGCAAATACAGCAGCCTGACGAGCGTCCAGCAGGATAACTCTCTATCGTAGTTCTGACATTTATTTAACCAGTTAGAAGGTAAAATTTTAGTCCCAATACAGAGAAGTTTAAAAATATAGCAAAATTATCCAAATGTAGTTCAAAAACAGATTGCCCTGTACATCCGTTTCTTTTCTCAATATTTTGCTTGCATTTGTATTACATGCTTGAAATACTATAACTCAACATCAAATTCTAGTAATATGTGCATGGGATCTTATAAAAGACCACTTTACCTCACTGAGTGCCCAGACAGCTCTTCCAAAGTACTATCAGTATCTGGACTCTGCTCATGATCTCTGTTGGAAATTCTGCTGCTAGGTAAGGACTTCTTTGCCTGTTGGGATCCATGGTCTGACTCAGACAGCATTTTGTCTTCTTCCATGGGAAACTGACGTGAACTTCCATTAAAAGATTCTAGCTCTACAAAAACACAATACTGGCAAAGTTAATTCCAATAGTTAGCAGTTACTAGCTACAGAAACAAACAACTGGGGTAACTCCCCCTGCCACACACACAGGCTTTGTGTAGTCTAAAGAATTCTTGAATTCAAGAAAAACACAATTGTGTAAATACTGCAAGTTCTTATATAGAGGAGATTCATAAAGGAGCTAAATTTACTAATTTGAGAGTGTCCGTTATCACTGCAAGTCAAAGCAACTATGCACACATAATAGTCAATTCTCTTGCACTGTGCACAGGACAAACAGAATTATAAATGAGCAATTTACATGGATGGAGAAGAGAAAATATAACTACCAAAGACAAATATTTGCCATTCTCCTTAGAAAAATAATGTGATAGAAGTAGATATTTTTCATTAAGAATCAGTAAGACATTTTAATACCTGCACTGGATTAGAGGTGCATACTATTAACCCCCAAATGATAAAAACCTAATTACAGCAACAAAAAATCCTAGAAATATCCTTAGAAGTCTGAGCATACCAATATAAGCATATGAAAAAAGGAAGGATACAGTCAGCATTACACTTACTTTCCTTCCTCCCAATTCTTTTAGAAGAAGTAGATGAGCGAGAAGATGCTGCAGAACGGTGCCCAGATGAATGCGGAGAGCCAAGTTCTACAGACCGAGGCTCATGAGGAGACCTCCTGCTGCGAAGTTCTTCCTGAATACTGCCAATGCTGCTGCCACTGATACTGTCATGGAATGAAAACACCAGCTAAAGACTTGAAAGACCTCCACTCCACACAACAAAAGCGCAAATGCTTTTGAGATGACAAGTGACTAGTAAGGGTGTGTGAAATGGGCTGCATTCTATTCGGATACGGCCCAAATCAGAGACAGTGATTCGATTAGTTGATTTGGATCACTGTCCCAAGTTCGATTCAGCTTGAATCTGAAGATTTGATGCCGATTCGGAGAATCAGGGATTTGGCCACAGACACAGCTTTAAATGATTTTTCTACATACCTCAAGGTACCAGGTGCAGCGTGTGAATGCTGCGATGGTGGGGTGGATGAAGTGTCTCACAGGAGCGCAGGGGGGCCCCCCCGCAAGCTTGGCAGCAAACCCAAAAGTGGACTGGAAGTACTTCCAGTCCATTTCCGGTCAGCTGTTGAGCATGCGGGCCCCTCCCCCACCCCAGTGATCAGCCACAGAGGGACCTAGGGTGACCCCCCGGACCCAGAAGGCACCAGTTACCATGCCAGGGGAGGTGCAGGCCCCCCACCCCGTGCACTCCCCAGTGGACCTGGAAGTGCTTCTGGTCCACTTCCGGGTCTGCTGCCAAGTGCTCTGGGGAGCCCCCCATGCTCCTGTGGGATGCTCCATCCGCCCCAGCATCTCAGCATTCACAAGCCACCTGGTACCTTGCAGTATGTAAAAGAAACATTTAAAGCTGTGTCTACATCCGAATCGCCGAATCTATCCGAATCAATTCAGAGGGTTCTGGTTAGATTCAGAGAGATCAAAGGGTCTCCTGATTCAATTTGGATTCAGAGGTTCGGCCACCGAATGAAGCCGAATCAAATCAGGGACTGAAGCTTCACATAGCCTTAGTGAGTAGACGGCAGGGTAAATGATGTTGCTTCATTAAAAAACCATGTTGAGAAATACTTTTTTTTTTTTAAAGTATTAGAAGACGTTTGTAACTTGCTAAGATATGTAAAACACATGAATTCTAACCCAGATGTGGAAAACTAAAAGATGATTACTTGCATCATTCCAAATAAAAATTTTAAATGGGAATTCAACTACAAATGTGGACATAACATAACCATTTTTCTGATATAATATCCCCCCGCCACCCATAGTAAACAGAAAATCAAGCATTAAGTTAAAGGTCCTCAGTTGTTACAACAGAAAAAGCTAAATCATAGTTGGGGCCTACCTAAATCACAGTGGAAGTTTGTGGCGCAGCAGCACCTTTAATCTTGCCTGTTTCACCACATCCCCCCCCACCCGCAACAGTATTTATTCCCTGCCTCCCCCACAGCCACTGAGTAGCTGAGGCAATTAATGTCATGGTTTCTGCCTCTTAGCCATTCAGCAACAAGGGGAGGGGTGGGCAGCAAAAAGAGTGAGATTAAAAGTGCCACTGTACTGCAAAATTCTGTCGTGATTTAGGTAGGTGCCTAATCTGAGTATCTCCCTTTCTCAGCAAGGTATTTCCGAGCATTTTTATAGCTAGGAAAACCCTAAATCTAATGCTTAAAATTAATGAATTACATATTCACATTGAAAAATTCAGTCAATTCACTAAATTCAACTATTTTCATAATAAAAATTAGACACTCTAGAATGTCATGGTTTTGGAATTCTAAACAAATACAGAGAAGATCTTAAAATCTAAGAAAGTTTTTAAAGAAATATTTTTGCTAAATCTTACTGGAACCTTGAAAACATTTTAGACTCTTCACTAAACTACTACAAAAAGATGGTACTTTACAAACATTAAGCAGTTAAGCAGCATAACAGCTATGAACAGCTGAGAACTGTAAACTTTTCACCAGTTTACAGAAGGGGCAGCAAACCTGGAAGAGTTAAAAGATTTTCCTGAGGCCACACACCAAGTGATAGCAGAACTGGGATTAGGTCCCAGAAGCAGTCAACTCTCCCCATTTGTCCCTAAACCAGCAATTCTCAACCAGAGTGCCTTGAACTCCATTCAAGGATGCTGTGGGGTGCCACAAAATGGTAGCACTGTTAGAGGCGCAAGCATGATTCACAAGACAAACCCAGAGATTCCAAATAGGAATCCGTAGTGTAAAAACATACTGGCCTGTTGTAGTCTGAGTTCTTTGCAACATAAGAACTGCTGTATTACTTTTCACTTGTTTTTTTGACTACAGAGAAGTAAGAGCTAGCATTTTCCAAGGTATGACTAGTCTAACGAAGGGAGCCTCAAATGTAAAGAGGTTGAGAACCACTGCTCTGAAACATTCTTCTTGATATGTCAGTTGTCGGAGATCACAAATAAATATTTCATTGACTAGTGAAATATTATTTCTCTTTCATGGATAAGATGAAACAGGGTGCACACATATTACTTGATGTGAAAAGGAAGTCTTCATAAATTCTCTCAGAAATTCAGGATCATTTAAAAAAGTTTTTCTTCAAATACTTAAGATACAATTACCTAGGCTCAAGACCATTCTTTTTGTCTGTCAGAGTTCCACTCCCTTGTGATGAAACAAAGTCACCTTCATATGAAACAACACTATCCGGAGGGCTCATGGCAGGAAGTAAAGGTCGCAGGATTGGAGACCCACCATTTGACCTTTCTTCAAGTCCTGTGAAAAAAAAAAGAAGGGATGGGAGTGGGGAAACGAGACAGTTAACAGTAAAGTCCATATTGTCCACTTCACAGGGAATGTTTCCGTAAGATTTAAATAATTCCACCAATAATCATCACATCATCTATACTGATATTGATTCCACTTAGAAAACACATTTTCTGGATAGCATGATGCTTGAGAATGGAGCCGTCTCTATTCTATTTCTCTCTCAAAATAAATGTAGCAAATGCCATCAACTTGAAAAATGAAAAAAAAAGATCAAGAGGACAGAATGTAGGCTACCTTCCTGAACAACAGTCAGCATCAAATGACTCAGAGGGCAAGAGGGTGCAACAGAACAGATGTAATTGCACTTGTAAAAAGAAAGAATAGCTGTGCACACAAATGGAAAGAAGTGTTTTGCATGAGAAATGTCTAAAATTTACAGGTCAAGCTGACCAATTAACTTGCTCACTTAAGCAAGATATACAATCTGTTCAATATTTATTGATGTACCAGAATCATATCTGCTGGAGACCAAAAGATTGCCACAGAGGTTTTGGTTTATTAACTGTCTTGCTTACCAAATTATTTTGCAGAGCCACTGCTGAATAAAGCATATGAATAATTGAGGTTACAAATAAAGATTTACCCACTCGAAGTAACCTGCCCCTGACTATATAGCACTATTTTCAGAAGTAGAGAGAATCTGGCATATATAAAGTCACTAACATTTTTTTATATTAAGCAAATTGTGCATATAGTATGCATTCCATCTTTTTGGCTAAATTGCAACAGGAAGGGAATGGGATGATATGCTGTTAGAACTTTGGTGCAAAGCTAGATCCTTTTGTCAGAAAAAAAAAACTCACTTAAGAAATCACATCTGCGGGGCTGGAGGGTAGATTTGGAATGGAGCTGTGGTAGGAGGATGCATACTCCCAACCACTGGCTCAGTTCTCCCTGGTGGCTCCATTTGCCCCACTACATTAAAGAAACCTGAAAAGAAAGAAAAGGGGCAGGACTTACCTTTTCCTCACCAACAAGGCCCTTCTTGTACATTTAAATTGCCAAAAATATATATTTAAAAAATGGAATTAAATTAAAATTGACAAAAAAAAAATCAATTAAAATTGACAAAAAAAATAGCCAAAAGCTGACAAAATGGTTAGCAATGCAGATGCAGTGGCATTTGAAGTAAATTTTAAAATGACAATGCTCTGAGCCAATAGGCACATTTGTAACATGAAGGTAAAAGCAATTGGGAGGAAGAAAGAAAGGTAAGTGGCTTGCCAAACAAGAAGTTGGGGAGACTTCTACGGAGAAATGATTCGGAACTGCACAAAGTGAAGTGAGCCCTCAGTCTGATTCACAAACCCAACCTGAGTTAGTCAGGTCCAACAGAACTTTGGATGTGATGAAGTATCTGAGCACACCTTACCTTTAGATTTGTATGTTTAAGAATGGAAACTACCATGCACTGAAGAGAGCAAAACTGTCTTAGTTCACTGTACATACAATGAAAAATACTATTTATGGCCCAAATTAGGGTGGAATTACATTGAATAGTTAATTTTTTTAAGAAACAACAACAAATCACATGTCTTCTTGGATTTAAAAAACAGCAATCACTTAAGAACTACAGAGAAAGTTTTAAATAGAAATGCTGCATCTTCATATTAAATGTCTAAGACGCTTGAAAACTGACTCCTTGCTAGGGAACACAACTAAAAGAAAGAATCAACATGAAAACTGCAACTATGCACTCAAGATTCCCTATATTATTACTATTTTCCATTTTTCCCTTACCTTTTCCATGTAGCTGGTAAGATTTTGCAAAGATGTTGATGACACTATGTGGACTTCCTTTTGCTAGTTCCTCCCATGGTCCCTTACTCTGAGTGCTACTTGTCTGTGTAAAAAGTGGCATGTACTTTTCAGCCTCCTTCTGAAATTCTTTTATGGGCTCAAAAGCATTTTTTTCCCGCACACAAAATTCCTTTTCTTTGAACACCTCAGCTGTCTTCAAGGGAGATTGTCTACTCTGGCTTCCATCTTCCTCAGAGAGACTCCCTTCACTTAGAAGAGGTCCTTCACTGATTGAATCTATGCTAGAATCACAAGGAATTATGACTTTGTTTTGACCATAAGGCTGTTTTTCACAACCAGAGGAGTCAGTTGACCTCTTTGATAAATGTCCTAGGATTCCTTCAGGTCTTTGACTGGCTGGGGACCTCATTCCAAGGCTGACTGCAGCTGTATGAGGTCTGATAATTTCAGGAAGCTTTTTAAATTCACTTAGGTTGCCCACTCCAGGAAGGTTATCATCGAAGCTTGTATGAGAGAGACAGGTACCCAACATTTTCTGAATTCTGGCTGAGAAAACATCTTCATTATCCTCTCTCACAGGAGGACTCACAACTTTAGCCCACCGCCCATCATCCAGATTCCCTTGGTGAAGGAGTTCATGCTCAGTGTTCCAGACAGAACCATAATTAATGCCAGCCCCAGCTAACTTCTTGGTTTCACTTTCAATCCTACTAGAGAGAGAAGCAGCTGTAGCTTTCAGAGCTTCAATGCGTTCCAATTTACTCCTGTATTGACCAGTGGCTGGTTTTGCTAAGAGATCTTGCTGTGCAGAAGATGAATTCAGGTAAGGCTGAGAGGTCAGAGTCAGAGATCCCATAGCAGCATTATGATTCCTCCTGGGTGATGGTGCTGTGTCAAAGTCCTTTTGCAAAAGGCCCATCTGCTCCAAGCTCAAAAGCTGGGAGAAAAGACCCCCACTTGAGCCTGCAAAAGGTTGTGGTTGCGAAAACTGGACTCGTGGGCTCAATCTGTCTGGTTGTATCCAAGTAGGCTCCATCAAATCATTTCTGAAATTAAAAGACAACTTTTCTATTTGTAATTTACAAATATGTGAACATATGTCTTTATAACAGGCAATTTTTAAAAAAAACCCACCAGACACAATGTTTAGTCTTTTGGAAATAAATGCTAAACATACCAAAATAAGGAAGTACTATATTTATATAAAATATACACTACATACTTATTAAATTAAGATGCTTTCCTAAATACTATTGTGTTGTAGCAAGTAACATACCTTAGTAAGAGAAACACGCTTTTCCCTAAGGCTTCAGAGAGCCTTTCAGACACCATTTATACTTTCTTTGCAAGTCCTGTCATCAATTCTACCATGCCCAGAGAATACTCTATAGCAGTGGTTCTCAACCTTTTTTATATTAGGACCCATTTGTAAACATCGATGGCGAGTTCTGACCCAGTATCTCTCACTCCTGCCCCGCTACCGCCCGCCCCCAGCCCTCCAGTGTGTGGGACAGGGGGTAGGTGCATGGGAGCCCCCAAGAGGTCCCTTGCAGGCTGGAACTCTACCAGCCTGCAAGGCAAAAGACATGTTTTCCTTTTTCTCCTTTAAAGGAGAATTCAGTTTTAAATGTTTGTTCATAACCCTTCTCTCCTGTTATTAGCATTCATGCTTATTTTTGCTTTTGGTATGACCAATGTACAAGTACAGGAATTGTTATTTTATCCTGTCCTTTGCAGCAATACTAGCATACTATCCAAACTATTACCGCTTGATCTTCCTAACGTTATAACTAAAATTCTTCCTTCCTAGAGAAACTGAGTTTTAATCTGACCAAGTTAAACGCAAAATACTAACCTACATGTTATACAATGTAACACAGGTCAGCAATGTTTTCCGACAAGGGTGAGAGCAGGGGAGGGGGAACTGTGTGATCGGAATGACCCAGTTCATTTCAGAGAGAGTCAGACATTAGGACCCAGCTACTGCCAGGGCTTCTCCCTGACACTCAGCTGCAGTGTGGTGCTTCAAAAGCCCCCCACTTCCATAGTCCATGCTGCCAAAGACAGAGCTACCCCGCTGCTAGAGCCCTAGGAAGCTGACTGAGATGCAACGCAGGGAGAGCCCACTTCTGTAGAACCCTAGGCAGGTCATTGCTGAGTAGCAGAAGTAGAGGCCCCCACTTCTGAATGTCATAAAAACTCCAGCCCTGTAAGCTGGATCCAAAGCCTTCACAGGCCAGATCCAGTCCAGAAGCTGTAGCTTGCCAATTTCTGCTCCATAAGAAATATAATATGAAATAAAGACCAAATTATAGTTCCTGTGAATAAGGGGACAAAGTTAAGGATGGGCTAAACAGCCTTAGTGATAATTTTCTCATTTTTGCATGTTTAATTATGCATCTAGAACATTCTTATTATAAGTTTGATTTATTAAAAGTGATATGTATTAGTTTAAGCATCCAGGAAAGAAGAGCTGCTCTTGATGATCTGCTCAGGTCCCTTCCAACCCTACCAACTATGAATCTATAAGCTCACAATCTAAACTAGACATACTATAGAGCAAATGACCAGACAAAGGCCAGGTTTAAAACACTGCAGTCTTTCTTTGCTGCTTTTAAATGTTAGCAGATTATCAAAACAGCTTCAGGGAAGAACAATGTTTAAGGAGAATATCTGAAAAGCAATAGAAGACTGCTTGTTACACAACAGGAAGAGAGAGAATTCCAAATATGAAGACAATGCTGGAAAGACATAAACTGAGCATTTCGTAGGAAGCAGGTAGAAAAAAAGTAAGATGGGAGGTAAGAAAAAGCTAGACCATGTATGTAAGAAGAAGCAGAATTGTATGGAGTTCCAAAAAAAAAAAACAAGTTTAAACCCAAAACAAAGGTAAGAAGAAAACAAGAGAATGACTAAGCAGCAGATGTGTGTAGATGACTATTTGTTCTTATATAGAAAAAAGGACTTCATCTCTCCAACATATGCAGAATATCAATGGCAGCTGTCAATTATCTTTCAAAATGCTATTTATAGATTACATGGATTTTGAGGCAGATTGGCAACTAACATTTACATAACCTTTAGCGCATCAGCTTCTATAATACCACAAAACAAAATGGTAATTCTCCATTTTAAATAATCCTACTTATATAAAACAATTTTACAACCACTATAAAGGCAATGGTTCTCTATAGAACATAATGAACTTCTACAAGTCAAAGACACTATTTTTGTATTTTTCCAAGTGTCCCTACCTACTTACCTAACAAGAGGCTGCGACGGTTCTGACAGGGACATATCACTACTGGAAGATGCACTAGGAGGACGTTCTTGTGCTTTGTTTTCTTTGTCCGATTCCCCAGATGGCTGATACACTGGTCTGGCCTAGAAATGAAAACACCACCAAAAGCTAAAATTTGTTTGTGGTCAAGCAACTTGGAAGCTTAAGTTAAAGGTTAAATGGACTTGCTTTAGTATTATGCTGCAAGGAATTCTTTACTAATATGCATAAAGAGAAATGAATTTTTCAGGCTTTTCTCTCAACAAGACGGACTAGAAATAAGCTTTGTTCATAGCCAAACAGAAACCAAATTAACACTGATGTTCTGTCTTCTATAACCATTTTTAATACTCAGTCTCTGACTGCCACGAATTAAATATTCTCAGTGGTCACAGATAAGCCCTTAGTTGACAGAAGTCTGAGTCAAAGCCTTTCATTCAGATGCTGAGGTTTGTTAAATGCATTCCTCTAGTCAATCTATAAGTAACATATCAGCTGCTGTTTATAACCGAGACACCTGTTTTCCATTAACCTTTATGGTGGGTCTTCCTGTGCTGGACAGCAGTCTCTTGCATGGAAGTTCTGTTGTTGTAGGACCTACCTCCACCATATCCAGCTAATGAACAAGCCAAGGGTACAGCTTTTAGTATACACCACTGTTTTCACAGATTTGATTTCTTCCTCTAACAACAAGCTGAAAAGGACATGTCAGAGCACTCTTAAAATATTCTACCCTCTGTTATGTTTGATTTCAAAGCACTGAGACAGTGAAACTACCATACCTGCATTTCCTGAACAGCAGCAAGCTTAGAAGGCTCCTCTAACAGAGTCTGTTCCAGCAACAGTTTAGAATAGGTTTCTTGTAATCGCCTAGCTGCTGAAGGTTCAGGAGGTGGCATATTCTTTGCTTTAGCAAAAGCCTCCCTCTGTTTCCTGTAAAGCTCTTGAAGTCTTTTGTTCTTCTGTTCTGTTGCTTCCTTCTGTGCCTTCTTCTCTTCATTCTGCCTTCTCTTCCTCTCTTCTTGCTGTCTAATAATGTACTGGCGAACCTCATCTGTATCATAGTGACGCTTTTTGGAGATAACTTGAGGCTCTTCACAGGAAGCTAGCTTGTCTGGTTTTCTTTTGGTTGGACTGTGGCTCCTGGCACCTTGAGTAAGCAAAACAAATTTCTGGCTCTGCTTTTCACCATCTTTCTCCTGCTTTGTACTCTGAGTCATGGACTCCAACTGCAGGTCATCAAGAATTCCACGTATCTCCACAGGTAGAAAATCCTTATTTAATGAGCTGTGATCATCTTGTTTACTCTCTGGAAGAGTATTTTCCAATTTCTTAAGGTTATTCTCAGACCGTACTTTACTCCTTGACCGTTCAGAACTTCTTGAACAGGTTTTATTGGTAACATCCAGCCTGGGATCTGAGCTTGTCCTTCCAATACAACCTGCTAAAGAACAGAGGTATCAGAGGTACTGCATTTAAGAATTTTGACTGGAGAAGAGGAGATTTCATTTTAAAATAATTTAAACATCGTTTTATGTAAAAAAAAAAAAAAAAAATTGAACCATTTTTTTTTAAAAGGTAAAGCTAAAGTTTGGGAGGTACAAACCACCAGAGAAATATCTACAAATATTTTCAGGTACCAAACAGAAAGAACCAAGTACTTTCAAAACCCTTAAGGTATTACTAATTGGAAACAATCAGGCACTGGATTATAGCCATCAAACCTGTAGATACGCCATCTCTCTGCTTCATAGAAAATAATTCTCATTACTGAAATATCTAGTGTTTTACAACGAAAAAAAAATTCTCTACAGTAAACAGTACATACAAAGTTGTATCAGCTTCCTTAAACAAGAGCTCTCCTTTATTTCCAGTTCCATGTAACTCAAAATAAAGTAATTATATTTTCTACAAAAGTTGCAGAAACATTCATTGCCTTCAGAACAAATATACCCAATAATCTACCTTAACTGCAAACTTCTGAACAATGTCACCCATGTTGATCCCATTTGCCTCCTGCTTGTAATAGCTGAATCTTTTGAATATCAGTGCACATTGGGCATAAGACTACAACCTAAATGTCTTTTTGCCAATCCCCTGACAGGAATAATGGGCAGGGCAGCCACCACCTTTTCTTAACAATCTAGAATCTCAGATAGAAAGAATGGGATCCATATGGGTGATACCATGTTGAAGGGAAAAAAAATAAAATATTTAGGTCTAATTAACTGAGTATGCACCTGAGATCACAGATGATTGCTAAACAGTGCCTCATCTAGAGTTGAAATAGTGATGTGCACTACCTACACGTGCTGTAAAGAAAATGTTTCTATCCCACAAAAAACTTTGAGATTTCAAAACCTGTCCCTTTCTGCACACAGATGAACCTCAAGAAAAAGCAGAGAAATATACTCCACTCGAGAACAGTCAAGAGCCTAGTAGTCAGAGTACATTCATACAACACAGTGACCAGGGTCAAAGTCTGTAGTCCAAATCAAGGAGATCAGATATTTGAACCTAGAGTTCCCACCTCTAAGAACAGTGCTTCAAAATATCTATCTGTTTCCTATTATCTCTGGTTTTGACCAGAAATTCCTTTCTGGACGGACACCTTTATTCATAGAAGTTTAACAAAAACAAATGGTTTCAATGAAATGGCATTTTTCATGAAAAAAAACAATTTAATTAACTCCTGCCCAGCTCTACTAGCCCCTCCCTCCCATCCCTGCTCTCCCCAGTGATCACTGTGTTGTCCTCTCACACTTGGTACATGATCTGGCAGTCAGATGAAGACTACAGTGCATAAATAGAATAATGGGATTATTTCACAAAGGTACCTTCTAAGTTTCACACATGGGATGTTTCTAAAGCATGCACAGGAAGCAGTCTACACTCTAATGATACTCGTCTTAATATTTACAAATAAAGATACATTAGTTATGATAGCAGAATGATATGCATTATATAATTCATCTTGATCGTCTCTGAGAGGTGGTCTGGCCCTACAAGGCACCAGGAAAGCCTAATTAAACAGTCAGAGGACAGTCTGAAAAGGTTTGCCCTTCCAGTATAATAAAGCCCCTGAAAAACCCAGAAGTGTGGAGTTCCTTCTCTCCTAGAACGGAATGGTTTAGGAAAGGAAGCAGATGAACTGATAGACTAGTTCAGGTGTCAGTAACCTACAGCCTGAAGGCTGTATCTGTCCTGCCAACATTTTTTTTTCTGGCCCTCAAAGTTGGGAGGTGGCTAGATAAAACGGTGAGGGTGAGGACACAAACAGCAGCCTACTGTAAAACCAAGTTACATTTATTCAGTCTGCCCTTGCTAAAATGCCAATCCCTGAACTAAGTTTAATTGAAACGAAATTGACAAAAATGTTTGGAGGGTCTCAACACTACCTTCTCTCTGTGAAAATGCTGTGTTAGAAGAATCAGCCATTACAGGCTTCAGTTTGGTCACCTTCTTGGCTAATGCAGTAGTGAATAAAAGTGAATACAAAGAAAACATTATGAATGAGGTGCTGTAAAATAAATTCCAAAAGGGGCTGGGAGGAGGGGATTCTTTGACACTAAGAATCCAACACAGAGGGAATCCTGTAACAGATGCAGTAACCCAGGGAGCCTGCAGTATCCAGCTTTCTTAGAGGAAAAAAACTGAACATCACTGGAGCAGAAGTGATATTCACAGACTGCAGCAAGGTGCAGGATGAAAGTCCGGAATGTTTCAAAAGCAGGATCTAGTCAAAGATCTTGGATACAGGAGCCTTTGCCGGGTTGATATTGCAATGAGCTGTCCAAACTGAAAATCTTTTCTGTTTAGAAGAGTAAACTTTCCTCACAGAGAGATTCCTTTTTTAGAAGAGAAATCCTTCCAGTTGTAGGGAGCACTTTCTGTCCTAAGTGCTAAAGCAGACTACATCCAGACTGTCAGAGGGTCTGAACAGACATCTGCATAAAGGTCTGTCAGCTCTACACTGGTAAAACTAAAATCTTGTTGAGGATTAAAACATAGCTCAACCAGAGAGGGCTGATGCCTCCTTGCCTGCATATACAGTACATTGCAAACATGTTATATGGTAAATATATTATTGGTTAGAACCTATAGCATGGAATTCCATAAAAACAGACTGGGAAGCAGGTGATCACTTGTAACATCAGGACATTTATGTGAAAAAAAATCAAGTCCTTCTGAGAGCAGATTTCTCAAGGGCATTTAGCATTTCAAATGCATTTGTGACTTCAAGAGAAAAGTAGAGAAGGGTAGCCTCTTCAAATGTTCGAAGGGGTATATCAACCCATTCAATGCTCATACAGGATGTGATAGGGTTACAATTCTCATGTTAACTTAATGCTATTTGAAACACCACACAAACATTAGCCAGACTTGTAATGGGCACAACTGAAGTCTGGCAAGCAGCATCTTATAAATGTACATTGTCTTGCGACCTAGATGGCTGACACAGCTCTGTATTGTGCTTGCTGGATTAAACTTGATACTGGCAACTATCAACCGAAGGAATCTGTTTGAGAAGATAGGTCTTCATCAGTTTGGCAGCAGTTATGGATCCTATGAATTCAATCATCAGTAATTGGATGAAACTATTTCTCATAGCTCACTAAAATGACCAGCGTGAATAAGAAAATAACACAGAATAAGGCTGTGGTAATCTCTTGCCAGCCTTCTAGATATGGGTGTTTCATCTGCTCAGTGGAGTGGATAAACTGAATAGTCATAGTGCTGCCAGTGACTTGACCAATTCCAAATTACAGGTGCTTTCTATGGGCCACATAAATAACATTAAGGAAGTATATTTGTCCTCTAAACTTAAAAGCCATGACTAAACAATATTGAGCCTGAAAGGAATGGATAAAGAAAAACATTACCATCCTGATTCTAAAGCAAAGTAAGCATTTGTTCAGTCTTCTCAGGTCTAGGATAGGACAAAGTTCGGCTCCCCTTTCCTTTCCTTTCCCTTCTTGTTTTTTTTAGTAACAAGGGAATATGTATAGAAGTGTCTTTTTCTATACTCTATACATATCCATAACTTCTAGATAAGTCAACCATGGTGAGGCAAGTCATAAAAGGAAGAATAGGAAAGATGTTTACAAGAAATGAAATTGGATGGGACAGCCATGAATAACAATGTACATTCATCTTCCACTGTTACGGCAGACCAGGCCACATGGAACGGGACACTAAAGCATCCCAAAGTAAGAGTTGTCTTGAATCAAAGTATGGCTCTTCATCCTCATGTCAAAACTTGCTGCCTGGAAACAAGTGTGGGTCCAGGAAGATGACAGACTTCTGACCAGTCTAGGATTCTTCCCAGATGGATATTCAAAGGTGCATTTTGGAGATAGTCATTTTCTGCCTGAAACCCAAAATGGCTTGCTATTTCCTGCTTGATGCCCAAAGAAAGTAGCATAGCAACTTTGAAGGAAGGCAACATGGTATTGGTATCCTTGTTCTAGTCCTCTGAAGGAAAAGTCCTCAGTACTGTTTTGCAACTCCTTAGGGATATTTCAGGCTCATAGCTATGAAGCCCTGTGTAATGTTCAAGAAGACAGTGTAGGCTTAGAACTGTTTTGGCTAAGAACTGGCCTTCCCTTTAATGAAGGCTTTCAACTCCTATCTGGCATCCTGAATAAGAAAGGAAACTATTACAAGTTGGGCATGATTTGAAACCTGAAGGCGCCAAGGGCACATCTACACAAGACGCGTTAATGAGCATTAACCTAATTTAACGAACATTACGGGTGCGTGTCTACACACAGGCACCCTTAATGTGCATTAAAAACGGCGAAATTAGGCTAATCACACCTAAATTTCATACCTGCTAGTGCAGGTATGAAATTTAGGTGCAATTAGTTAAAGCACATTAACACATGTGTAGATGCAACCCGACATTAACTTTAGTGCCGGGTCTGCCCAGCCACTAGGGGCACACAGCAGGGCTGCAGGGACTTGGCACTAACTTCAGTGCCAAGTCCCTGCATGTGCAGATACCTGCCAAAAATCGCTTAACGTGTGGATGTTTAAACCCCTTTAAAAAAAAAAAAAAAAAAAAAATTAAAAAAAAAAAAAATCGCTTAATGTGCATTAAATTTAGTCATGGTTAAATGCACAAGTAGACATACCCCCATTTTGGCGCAAATAGAGGTGCAAAGTACAAAGGGGCAAACTAAAGTTGGAGTTTTTTTCTTTTTCCCTCCTTTTTAAAAACAGTCTAGATGGGGGAAAATAAAACAGAAAAAAAAAAGGTAGGAGGCAATTTTAGGCCCAAATGAGTTAGAAGAGAAAAATGCTAAAGGAGACAGAACACTGCTAAACAAAAGTCTTGCTACTTTGGGTGATAACAGAATTGAGAAACAGATGTAGCCATATTGCCCCTCAGGTTCTTGAGCAGGAGATAAAAACACGTGGAAGATGCAAGTACAACCCTCACAGAAACTGCTGTTCAAATGTTCTGACTTGCTCCACATGAACCTCATGTACATGGTCAGTGGGACTCACAAGAACACAATCTAAGAAGAGCAATTTTCAAGCCAAATTCAGAAAATAGAAGTTATAGGGGATAAAAATCAGGTTTTAGGGGGGCACTGACATATCAGTTGGCTATTGGATCGGCACCAATAAAAGGAGAAATGGCATTATTGGCTTTTTTTGGTCATTGTACCCAAGAATTACAGCCACGTACACAGAGCACCCTAGCAAATGCAGTACAGTCCCCACATCCCACTGCTGGCCTGAGCTCGCAACAGACTATAGGTGTGGGTGAACAGCAGGAGGGGAAGGGGGCACAGGGCACAATGCGCAACAACAAAAGGACCATTACTGGCTCCTGCTGCCACTGCCATGGCAACACCGTGTGCACAGCAGGGGCCTGAGCACCAGGGCTGCTGTGGAGACATTGAGCTGTGTGTGGGCAGGGTAAGGCACTGAGTGAGGGACCTTCCACTCCGCCAGGCATCAGGTGCCCTTGCAAAAGTGGCTTCCCCCTGGTGACTGCGGAAGCTTGGCTGTGTGGGGCCCACTGATGCTGAGGCAGCGGTGTGCTTTGGGGCTCCAAATGCGCCCGGTGCAGCTGTCCGCACAAGAAGGGGGGGCAGAAGGAGTGCGCATGTGCTATAAATGCAAAACAAACAAAAGAAAGGTTTATTTATGTCAATACTTGAAAATGCCTTGCCCTCTTACTAGATCTCCATTACCAGATCGGCAATGGCCAATATGGTTAGTTAATCATCAGCCAAGAAAATCTTTATCGGTGCACTCCTATAAGGTTTTATAACAGAATCTGGTTGAGCTGCATGTCCATAATACAGCACAAACCTGCTTAGTACATGCATAACTCAAACACAAAGCTGGTAAATGCATCAAAACCAAAGGACAAATTAGTGTTAAATAAGGCCCAACTTACAAGATTTAGTAGCTCTTCCCCTTCCAGTCCTGTCACTGGATGTTGCTCTTCTGTCCTGTTGCTCTAGTTTGGGTGCTGGACCCAGTATCTTTTTGACTAGCTTTTGTCCATCCCGCCAAGATGATGCATTTATCACATGGCTTCCACCTACACAAAAAATAAGAACTGCAACACTGGATGGTTGGTTTTTTTGTCACTTTAGATTCTAATGGAAATTTAAAATTAGGTCAATTTCAGGCTCCCTACTTTAGCCAGAATTTCCTAACCAGACATGCTCATTTAGCACAGCAGTGGTGTTGAACCCATGGCCAATGGGATGACTGCAACCCACAAAGTCTGTGTGAACAGGCCAACACTGGCATGAGCTCACCAGCATGTCAGCATGGCTTCTGCTAGAGCTCCACAGGCACAACAAGCTCTCTGAGCTCCCCAACGTGCCAGCACAGACACTGGCTGAAGTCATCACTTTCCTGAAACTCTGAAGCCTGCTGAATTCAGCCCAAGGTAACAGAGGGGATACATAGCCATGGCATTCATCCCCTGGGCTCCAAAGCTGCACAAAAGCAGTGACTCCAGGCAGAACCCGTGCTGACAAATGGTGAGCTCAGAGAGGTCACTGTGCACTCGAAGGCCCAGCAATACTTTTCTATGTGGCCGTTGGCCCATTTTTTACTGTAAGATTCGGCCTGTTTGTGAAAAAAGGTTGAGCACCAGCATACTACAGCATAAGCAGAATATAAAGGCTAAATGGATAAATAAATAGAAATTGCACCCTAGCTACTTTGTGAGACTGAAAACTCTAGATGCTGACCTGAAGTAAAATATTAGGAAGTTTAATTAAACTGTAAGCTAAAGCAGTCCTTCATAGACTTGTCACCTAAACCTGAAACAGGTTCCTATTAACGTTTTAAAATAGATGCAACACCAAAGAAGGTTCTCTTCCCCAACTTGCCACTCTCAATTACTTCTATGCCCCTTCAGAAAGACAGGGCAAGGGTTTATCTTTCCATTTCAGGTCAGCTGTCTGAACTAAAAGAAGCTAACAAAGCAGAATACGAGCTGCAGTTATTTATAGTATTTGGCTGTGCTGAACAATCTGTTACTGCAGTGACCGTAGGGGGAAGGGAACATTACTACAGATTTGCCATTGAGCCAGCCCTGGTGCCTACAATTTCAGCTAAAGAATAAGGAGCATTCTGTAGTTCAGCACAGAAATATCTACAGCTGGATAATACATCAGTGAGATTACTGATTGCAATTGCCTCTGTGCTATTCCTTCTTTTAGACCTAATGATGACAGAAATATTTAATGAAAATTCTTAATGATTTTCCTTCCCAAAGGCACACTGCTCCATTGTTAAAACTCTTCTAAGAGAAGTTTGAAACTAGTTTTAAAGGATCCAAAATGCAAAGCATGCATTAAAGGAGTTTTGATAATCCTTTCTCTGTAAGCAAGTTTACCCCCTTCCCAAGTCCTGCACATGAATTCAGCAGAACAGAACAGACTAGCTTCCTAGCAACTATTTCAAGATACTATCAGTTAAATGCTTTCAAAATGTTCGAATACTAGCAATCACTATCATAACAGAGTACGGACACCCAGCTTCCCTGAATAAAGCATATTGAGTGCACAAATGCTATATTACGCCACATTAACTTTATTCGCAAAGTGTCTTAGAATAATGTATTTGTACCTGTATCTTCAAGACTAGTTAAAAGGGAGGGAAAAAGTTCACTAACCACATATCAATACATATTATGAAGAGAAACATACAATAATGAAGGATTAATAGCAAGATTCAGACTGTATATTTTTTTTTTACCTGTTGTTATAGTGGGTCAACACTAATTATTAATTTCCTAATGAAGTAAACAGAAAAAGTGAATGGCAGGACAATATGGGGCTAGATATAGTATATAAAACTGCTTTTAGGACATTTTGTGCAACTGACCAGATTTCAGGCTGACAGTGACACTTCCATCTTTATCCCATCTCTGGACAGAACGAGGCTATGAACACACACACATCTACAGAGAGAAGCCTATGTCACATGTAGTATCAGTTACCTGGTTTGGAATCTGGGCTTGATGACCGTGTCAGTTTTTGGACCTTGCGCATTGGCCTGGTGCTTTTTTTCTCCTTACCCTTTTCAGTAGCCATCTCTTTCATTGTTGAATCCTCTGAAAAGCAGCATATGAAGAGTTAACTAACACTTCATAGGAAAGGCAGAACACAGAAGCAAACTTGCTTCAGTATTTACCATGATAAAGAGGATGCCAGAGGATGATGGCAAAGATCTCACTATGTCATATACCAATACTGATTACGTCCATATCGGGCAGTTCTAATTCCTTTATACAAAAACAGCTAACTTGTATTCTACTGGGACTCTGAAGACAACAGCTTAGACCCCGTTGATGTGCTGTTTAAGCCAAATTATCCTTGAAGCTTTGAGTAAAATACTCTACAAATGAACATTTTCAAATCAAATATTCCTTATATAAATGCTGGAAAATGGTAATGGCATAAGCATACCCTGCAAACTACAGCCATCTTCAGAAACTCATTTCAGGTTTTAAAAGTGATTTTAATAATTTGGCATATGTGAACTAACATTGTTTTTGGATTTCACTAAATGATATTACATTTTATAAAGCTGATAGTAATGCTTTGTCTGAACTATCAGCTCCTCCATTACTGAAATACATCATTCCCCTACTTTACATTGTGCATGATAGCACATTTGTTCCTTGGCTCTAAACCAAAATGTGACAAACTGAATATCAGGTCATTCTCTTTTCTGCAAGTGTATGACTACTGAATTTACCACAGCCTGCATCAGTTGATTATTCTGCGTATGTCATCATTTACAACAGAATTGAGAATTAGCTCATATGCTTAATAAAAAAAAGAACCAAACATACCAAACATAGTTATTGATACTCATTAAAAATGCAAATCAAGTCCCGCATTTCTAAAGGGAATTGCCATTACAGCTGGTAGTCATAGTGCAAACAGCTAAAACTCTAATGCATGTAATGCTTCCCTGTTCTAGACCCTGTCTAGATGTTTTTAGACTCAAGGCACACGTTGGAAAAAGCCAGCTCTTAGTTTTACACCTGTTTTTTGACTACAGAAAAATAATAGAGCAATTCTTCCATTGCAAAGAACTAGGAAAGACCACAACCCTATGGATTCCTCTTTGAAAACTCTAGGTTTATCTTGGGAGTCATGTTTGCACATCTAACAGTGGTAACATTGCATGGACCCTGCAGCACCCTTGAAATAACCTCAAGGCACCTCAGGGTGCCAAAACAACTTGGTTGAGAACCACTGATCTAGACACTGTCTAATAGTTTTTAGGTCCTTTTTTGTTTGAATATATAGTGTGGGTGAGGGAGTACACCATAAATAACTTTTCTTAAATGTAAACACTTTTCTGTGGTCCTTGAGGCCCAAGCCTGGGTACAACAGGATTTTTAAAATGCATATCATGTCTCTTAGGTGGATTAGGGGCTTGCTGGAAAACTGTCAAAAGTTGCTGCTGTTAAAACTCTTATAATGTGACCTGGGGTGTGCCCTCCTGCCTTGCCGCTGCAGCTTCTCACTCTAATCTTCTATGCCCTGCATTGTGATCTCCTCCCCTTTCAAAGGTGGAGAGACCCATTTGATTTGACTGTCAAAGCTTGCTGCTGAGAGTGTGGTTTGATTTAAGACAACACTTGTGAACTCCCCTAACATTCCCACTTACACCGAGTCAAACATGAAGTGTTAAATTAAACCTGCAAAGGCCAGAGTTCAGTTTCCCTGATTCCCACCCGCCTCTGACCAGAACCCAGATTAATCAACATTTCCAGCATAACCCTGCAACCTGCCCCACACTATTTAGAAGGACCCAGGCATTCCATCAGCAAGTTATTTGTCCCCTCAGATCCTGTTTCTCTTCCTCTCAACCTAAACATTTCTGCTGTAGTCAGCACTGGTGAAGCCTCACCTGGAGGGCTGTGTCTAGCTTTGGGACCCACACATCAAGAATGTGGACAGATTCTAGAGTCCAGTGAAGAGGGGCCTGGGAAGCAAGACTTAGGAAGAAAGTCTGAGAGAACTATGATTATTTGGTATGAAGAAGAAAAGACTGAGGAGGGATTTGATAACCATTTTCAAATACCTGAAGAGGGATCATAGAGAGAATGAAGATAGGGGTAGGCTTTCCTCTGTGACCATAGGGGACAGAAGTAGGAGCAGCAGCTTTAAGCTGTAGCAGAGGAAATTTAGGTTGGAGATCAGGAGGAACTTTCTGACCATGAGGATGGTCAAGCATTGGAACAGGCTACCAAGAGAAATTGTGGAATCTCCATCTTTGGAAATATTTAAGAGCAGGTTGGACAGACACTTGGCTGGGATGATTTAGTCGGGGATGATCCTGCCTTGAGCAGAGCGCTGGACAAGATGACCTTTTGAGGTCCCTTCCAGCCCTACTTTCCTATGATCCTACTAATGCAATATTATCTATGAGCTTGTCTTAACTAGGCTAAAAAGGGTATTCTTAACCTATGTTTTAGCTGAAAGTGTTAAACCGTTGTTTTAAAACTCTAGAGAAGATGAAGGAAGTTATTCTTAACACTTTTAGTTAACTGAAGTAAATGCTAGAATGAGATTCAGACACAACATCCCACAGAGTAGGATTCAGAGTTGATGGAGGTGCAGTCTAAGAACTGGGCCCTAACTCAATGGAATATTGATTTTGAATACACTATGTGCCCTAGTTACCCTAGAGTTTTAAAGCACTACATTCAAACATTTATTAACATGTTTTGCAGATACACCTTTTATATACAAGCCATGTATGGCCACTGTCACTATAATATGAGTGTCAGTCTTCCAGAGATTATTGCAAAGAGTGTGCAAACTACTTCTAAGGCAGGTGTGAACAATTTCATTTTTACCGCAATGAAGTGATTCTAAATTCTAAGTAAAAGTATTTAGATGAAACATTTGTTAATTATTTCACAGCTAATCATTTTAACAAAAAACATACCATTCATGCGATTATTCACCACTACTGAATAAAACATTTGAGTGAGAATAGTGGGTTGCTCTGAAGGTTGTTGGGATGAGGTATTAAGGGTTCAGTTTTTTCTCTCCTATACCCCACAAATATTCTTCCAGTGATGTTTCCCCCTGACAACAAAGGGGAGGAAAAGCCCCTACCTAATGACAGAAAATCCCAACCCCACTCCCACCCATCCAACAGATGTTTTATAATATGTAAGCTGGCAAAATAAAGCCTGCCTATACTGAAAATTGAGCTGAAAGTCTAGAGCTAGCAAAACATTAAAGAAACAAAATGTAAAAATATTAAGAGATTATGCATGATTTGTATTAATTTCTATAATTATAGAAAAAATATTTTTAAAAAATGTTTCTGAAGATGCAGCTGAAGTTTTCAGCTGAAAATTTTGTACCAGAGAGCCTTGCAATAACATTTCAGTCCAGCTAACTGTATAGTGCATGGAGCCTTGCTGTGTATTTCTAGATGGCAGGAAAATTAAACATTAACATATGGACAGATAATGTAACAACCTAAATATATATTTACAGTATGCTGCTATAGATTGCTTACTTGGAATCAGCAACTTGATATGATTTTTTTCAACTTTTGCAAGAGACACATTGCAGACAGCTGCCCTACACATGGTATTAAGAGAGACATATGGCCAAACCTGCCTACTGCTCAGTTCTCTTACGGACAGAAGATTTGGGTGGGGGGGAAAGAAGAGAGAGGGAGGGAGACTATGCTCTACATATCTATTTTCACATTTAAATTTCATTTGTATGAAACTATTTTATAAAAAAAAATTGTATTTCTTTTAAGGAAGCAAAAGTAACTTTAAGCCAAATTTTTGGTTCCCTAAGTATGGAGCTGGACAAGAACAGATCCAGTCCCTGGTGAAATAGTTACCACATCAAGTATGTCCTAAATTAAACCTAGCTCCTTACAATATCAAGGGGTAATTTAGTCAAGGATCAAAGACAGAACTATGACCCTATGCTCCCCTATTTTTCCAAGTCATGTTTCCTATACCAACATACTTAAGAAGGTAGGATTCTAAGTCCATCTTAGGGATTCTCTTTATTCTAAAAAAAAAAAGAAAAAAAAAATCAGCAGCAGGGCTGGATATCCCAGGTTTATAGCCATCTTTAAATTATCAGAATGCCATAAGCATATGTCCAAGGACAAGCGCAAAGTCTTGCACTTAGGACGGAACATTCCCATATACCAGTACAGGCTGGGGGGTCACTGGCGAAGCAGCAGCTCTGCAGAAAAGAACCTGGAGGTTACAGTGGACAATATGCTGAATATGAGCCAACAGTGTGCCCTTGTTGCTAACAAGGCCAACAGCATATTGGGCTGTATTAGTAGGAGCGTTGCCAGTAGATCGAGGGAAGTAATTATACTGCTGTACTCTGCACTAGTGAGGCCACAGCTGAAGTAGTGTGTGCAGTTTTAGGCCCCCCCACTATATAAAGAATGTGGACAAGTTGGAGAGACTAAAGAGGAGAGCAATGAAAATGGCTCGGGGGCTGGGGCACACGACTTATGAGGACAGGCTGAGGGAACTGAGCTCATTTAGTTTGGAGAAGAGAAGACAGAGGAGATTTGATAGCAGCCTTCAACTACCTGAAGGGTGGGTCCAAAGAGGATGGAACTAGACTGCACTCAGTGGTGGCAAATGACAGAACAAGGAGCAATGGTCTCAAGTTGCAGCAAGGGAGGCTTAGGTTGGATATTAGGAAAAAAAACTCTCTCACTAGGTGGGTGGTAAAGCACTGGAACAGAGAGGTGGTGGAATCTCCATCCTCAGAGGTTTTTAAGGTCTGGCTGGAATGATCTAGTTGGGGATGGTCCTGCTTTGAGCAGGGGATTGGACTAGGTGACCTCCTGAGGTCCCTTCCAACCCTCATTTTCTATAATTCTGAGAGAGATTTCAAGACAGAAAAGTCTCTTTATTGACCATGAAGAAACTCTACTATCCAGTGATCTTCCAATTAGCATATGACATGACCATAAAACATCAACAGTTTGGAAGAAAATAAGTCGCTTAACAGTTTACAGCCTCTATCTTCTCCTCCCACAGGCATAACCACAGCTACCATACATGACAGACCACATTCCACACCTAAAATAAAAAACATCTTAGGATTGCCAGCTTTTCACCGCTCCTCTATTTAACTACGCCCTCTCAGTGCATCACAATACTGTACAAAGCACGTTCACAACTAATCTGGTGAGAAAGTAGTCTGGTAAAGAGATACTTGAAACAGAGCAGAGTTAAGGATACGTGGTCTGTAGTATCTGATTGCTTTGGTACTGGTAAGATATTTAGAGCCAACTGAAGATTTTCAACCACAAACAGGAACCCATAAAATGATTTTTCACAGAAAAGTGTTAGTGATATCTTTAATGGGAAGCTTCTAAGTGAAATAATCATACACATAGTTTCAAAGTTTTCTGCTCTATCAAAAAAAAAAAAAAAGGGTGGGAGAATTTTTTAAATTCAGTCAGTTCTACTACCGGTAGAAGTACAAGATATGTACCATTATATAGTTCACTTTTCATAGCTTTATGGATTTGTGTCAAATAAGCTGTACATAGCCACCTGAATTGCTTCACAACATAATCAATGTAGATTAATAAAACTAGGGCTGCTTCTTACCTGCTAACTGTAGTGCTATATCTCGATATAATTCCCTGCTAATACTGTGAAATTCATCTTCATGCCAGACCTTTCCATCAGGAGTACGAATCTTTGTCTCGGCAGGATTAAAACCTAAAGTATAAAGAACAAAAAAAATTGTCTAGCTTTCACAGAATTCTTCAAAAACTTTAAAAAATAGCTTCCATAAACCCCTATGGACAAAGATCTCCATTACATCTGTAATGTAATTAAAGGTAAATTATATTAGGAAAAATAATATACTGCTAACAACTCCCACTCACTAATCTAGTGCTTCTCAGCCCAGGTGCTATGAGATCCTTTTAGGGCTGCCATGCAATATTAGAACTGTTGGGTGTGCAAACACCTACACCCAAGTCCCAAGAAAAAACAAGAAATTTCAAAAAGGAATCCAGAGGGTCAAAAACATTCTGATGTACTATGGTCTTTCTGAGTTCTCTGCAACAGAGCTGCTCTATTTTTTCCTGTAGTCAAAAAACAATTGAAAGTTAAGAGCTGGCATTTTCTGAGGGGTACCTTCAGTCTAAAAACATTGAGAACCACTGCACTATATAAAGGGGAATATTATAAACAGTGCAGATAAGAGACAATTTTCCCCGCCTCTTTTTTATGGGAAAATCATTGCTCTCTCACACTTCAAATTCACAGTAAATAGTAGTAATAATTTTAAGACTTCAAAAAAAGTGTATGAAGACATTAATGTTTCAAAAAAGAGCTACACTACATGCCAAAAATGTGATTTGAAGGATGGCTACTCTGGAGTGTTTTCTAATATATTTATTTATTCTTTGGTAATCTAGAAGGGGCAGGAGGAATTGCAAAAGAATGTACTATTATTTATTCAAATCCAAGATGTGTCCCCCCCTGATCAGCATGGAAGGGGCTTCATCTTGGATTTGAGTACTGGCTTGAGGCAAATGGTAGCCCAGCTCAGGTGTTGCACCTGGGTTTAAGGCTGAAGCCAGAGCTGAAATGACATCTGCCCCAGGCCAGAATGGCTTATTTGGCAGGGAAGGGACCATGTGGACACGGGAAAGACAGGAGGGGACCTGCAGCCATCCCCACTATCCTTGCCCTCCATGCCTTTGTCCATCCCCTGCCTCCCCCACCCCTTGCTCCCCTCTACCTGTACTCTCCCTCCCTTATCTTCTGCTCAGGCTCCAGTCTCTCCAGCTGCCATCCAGCCTAGTCAGGAGATGCTGCTGCCTCTCCCTGACCTGGTGGGCTGGGGCCAGGCTGGGCCACTGCTGCTGCTGACTGCCCCAGAGCCAGAGCAGAGCTGCAGTAAAAGGTAAGGGGACAGAGGGTGAACACTGAGCGGAGGACAGGGAGGGGAAGGAGGGAGGGTGCGGGAGAGATGGAGTGCATTGGAGCAAGGGGCATGGAAGCAAGGGGCATGGTCTGGCCTCTCACCCTCTGCTGCTGCTTTCTCTGCCACAGCAGTGGGGTGGAAGAATTTAAAACAACCTTCCACTAATTACATTCTACACATGGAAACTTGTAACATTATAGAAAAATTAGAGAATCTTATCTAAGAGTTATCTTAAATTGAAAGTTGTCTTGAGTTCGGGTAAATACAGTAGATTTTCTGTAGGATTTTACTATTAGATGACAATTCCTGGTTTGTAATCATATTTAAAATATTCCTGTCTACTTCTGCAGTTCCCAAATAAGTGAACATCATGAGTCATGCTGCTCTACAAAGCAAACTCTTTTCTCTCTTTGCATATAAATCAAAGCAAGATTGAAGGTTGACATACCTTTGTATGCTGGAGCAGGAGGTGCAACTGCTACTTTTCTGACTTTTGGAGTCACTGCACTCTCCACGTTTGTTACTACCACTGGTTGCTCAGCATAACCCTGAAGCTGTCCTCTGCTGCTTAATTCTTCAGAATGCTCCCACTGCTTTCTAATCCGCTCCTTCAACTTCTCCAATTTATTATCATGCTGTCTCCGCTTTAAGATTTCTAGCCTGTGGGCACTGGAAGTACTAGTGGAGGAAGAGGAAGATTCTGACAGCCGTACCCCTTTCAGTTCAGGATCCTGGGCTGTGGTACTCAGAGTTTTAGTGCCGCTCTCATCTCCTCTGGATCCATTATTTTCCTCCTCTGATCTTGTAGGTGTTACAGCTTTAAAAAGAATCTCATTGCTTTGCAAGGCATCAATTGCTGGACGGTCATTCAAATACCTGACAACTGTCTCATCTGCAGCAGAAGAATGTGGGCTTTCAAAATCCCTGCTGTGTGGGTCCCGTTCATCTCTGTTATATATCACACGGTTTGTTCCTTCAATCTTTCCCTCTGCTTCACTACCTTCCAAGCTAGATAGCAAATGTTTGGCCTCCAGCTGGCTAGAACTGTGATAAGATGGGGAACCATATGTTTCCCTAATGTTGAAGAAAAAAAAAGTATAACAACAGTAAAAGAACAGTAAAAACTACTCAAACTGGGTTTCAAGCAACTTTGCAGTCATTACCACTTAACATTAAATACACAGTGGGCATATTTATATGCACAATTAGCATGCCAGGGTTCATTGCTCCCAGGCATGCTGTTTGTACATGCAACTGGGACAGCAACATGTGGAGCCAGGGCAGTGCAGCCCTAGTTGGCAGGGGCCCTGGGGGTCACCCTGCCAGCCTCAGGCTGCTCTGACCTGACTCAATGTGCTGCAGAGGGGCTGGCTGGGTCACAAAGGTGCTCCAGTACAGGGTGAGGCAGCAGGCAGCCCCTGCACTGGAGCACCTTTGTGTCCCAGTCAGCTCCGTCAGCATCTACACGTGCATTGCGGCAGAGTAAATAACTCTGCCATAAGATGGTACGCATGTCCGGAAGTACTATCCTATGTCAGTGTAAAATAGTTTACTCTGTTTTAATAGCACCACATGTGTAGACAGTAAAGTTTTACCACGAAGCTAATTAGGCAACTCCGCAATAAACATCTTGTGTGGACGCACCCAGTATATTTTAATGAAAAGGTATTTTTAGTGTGCGGAAAGCTACAAAAAACCCTTGCATTTAAAATGTAAAATCTGTCGCCACTGAACACTAGGGCTGTGCGAAACGGGACCTGTTCAATTCGGATTCAGATAGAATCAGGGACAGCGATTCGATCCGTTGATTTAGATCACTGTCCCTGATTCAATTCAGCTGAATCCGAATCTGATGATTGAACACTGACGTGGTGAATCAGCAATTTGGACACAGGCACAGCTTTAAAGTTTTTTCTACATACCTTGAGGTAGCAGCACTGCTCGTGATCTCTGCAGTGCTCGGGCACATGGAGCATCCCACAGGACTGCAAGGGGGCTCTCCAGCGTGCTTGGCAGCGAACCTGGAAGCGGACCGAAAGTACTTCTGGTCCACTCCCGGGTCTGCTGGGGACCATGCTGCACCCACCCCCCACCCGCTCTGTGTTTTCCCAGCTCAGTGATCGGCTACAGGGGAATCCCAGGTGTCCCCCCCCTCAGACCCAGGAGGCACCAGTCGCCGAGCCAAGGGGGCACAGGGGGGCCCCCCTGCGCACTCCCTCGTGGACCAGGAAGTGGACCAGAAGTGCTTCTGGTCCACTTCCAGGTCTGTTGCCCAGCACGCTTGGGAGCCCCCTTGCAGTCCTGTGGGATGCTGCATCTGCCCCAGCACCACAACATTCAAAGCCCCTGCTACCTAGAGATATGTAGAAAAAACATTTAAAGCTGTATCTATGTTTGAATCTCCGAATCTGTCCGAATCTCTCCAAATCGATTCGGAGGGTTCCGAATCGATTTGGATAGATTAAAGGGTCCTTTGATTCAATTTGGATTTGGAGATTCAGCCACTGAATCAGGCTGAACCTCCACTGAATCGAATCAAGGACGGAAGCCTCACACAGCCCTACTGAACACTATGTGAGCCATGGCAGCAAACATAATGGTTTTAGCATCTGTCCAAATAAACTAGCCTTCACATTTCACAGATAACAGTCCTTTTCAGTGGTTACTGTTTACAATACCAAACAGAAACAGCTACTGATGCAGCAAGGAAAGAATTAAAAATGCAAATATCATAACAGGTGCTTACTATTGCCTACTAGAGCTAAGGTGGCAAGTGTTTACAGTGATATTCCCATTCTAAAAGCTCAACATTTTCTGTAAGTTACCTATACATGTTCTGTACCTTGAACATGACTTGGTTTTTGAACCAAGCCAAACCCCTTCAGCAACTTATATTTAGCTTGAATGTAAAAATTGCCATTTAAAGTTTGCTAAGTATTTTCCACACCAACAAAGCTATGCAAAGAAATGACCGATGTTTTAAACCTGAAAATAGGCAGAGAAAAAAAAAAATCAACGAATATTAACGCCTTCGTGATGGACTTTTGGAGCCATTTAATAAGGAAAAACTTATAATATTAAGCATGATTCCCAATGTAGATCTCTAACACAGAGAAGTTGTGCATGTGTGCACAATCACTTAGTTGATAGCCCAGGGGGAAAAAAATGAAGAGACAGCAAGGCTTTTAAGTTGCACAAAAAAAAAGTTGCATCTGTGATATGAACTCTACACATTAGCAACTGTTGAGAACAAAATGTAAAGGTCCCTTGGAAGTTTGTTAATAGAGCTCATAAGCTGAGCAAGCTAAACATTTCTGGACTTTTTTCTTCCCAGCAGTGATTCTACACCCTCTTCTTTTCTAAACCCAACAACTGTTAATAGAGTATTAAAAGTTTGCAGTATCAAGCAACCAGAAGCAAGGAAATTACAAGAAGTTAGGTAATTTTGGAAATTTTAATGGACAGCATTTCTTATATAGGTACATCCTCATGAGATCTTGATCATCAACTAGAAAGAGCTCATCCACTCCAGTTTTCTTTTTCCTCCTTCTCAAGTAAAATTATTTGAGGTATTAATTGTTTTTACAGGAGATTGATAGCAAGAAAAGAGTTATTCCAGATCAGGAATTAGAATCAAAAGCAATTCAGTTAATTAGGGTGGTTAATTTGGTAGAAGGATCAAAGATTTAAAGTTTTCTTTCTGTTGATACTTAGCTTCTAAATAGTGCTGCAGGTGGGATTTTTAAATTCTCTCTCTTGAAGTCAACATAAGTGTGAGTTCAGTGGGAAGACAAGGTTCTTTGGGTAAATCCAATATCTTTTATTAGACCAACTCAAATAGTTGCAAAAAGCTGTCTTAGCAAGCTTTCCAGTGAGAACAAAAGTTAAGCCAATACTGAGTGTATTTTAAAAATCTGCATAATAATCAATTTTTACAAACCATTCATTATGGTTAGCATATCTAAGGTTGCCACAAGTTGAAGGAACAAAAAACTGTGGAGAAGTCATGGTAATGTTGCAAGCCTCAGAAATTATGTCAAGCCGTAACCAAACTAACTCTGCAGCAATGAGTTTAGCGTGGTTTTTCTCTTTCTTATCTTTGTTTAGATTTTGAGGCATCTTCTAATAAATATGGTAACTGGCCTCTTAGCCAAGATTTCCTATTCCTTCTTAACCTCCAATACTGCAAAGCCTAAAAGATGTTCTGTTCCACTTTCCCTTCATCCGTCTATGTCACTGCTGACCTTGTACTTATGCCTTCCACACACACACGTACATACAGCAAGTTAAATGAAGCTTTAGCATCCCCTACAACGTGGCCAGCAATTCCTGGCTCTCTAGTGCAATCCTATAAAAGAGCAAGTTTATGCAACAGTTTACCATCTTGTTCACTGATCAGTCAGCAAGTAAAAGCATCCTGTTAGGATGTAAATAGTCTGTAAATAAAATGTCAAGGCAGTAAAATAAACTTCTCATTATTCATGATTTTTTTTTAAAAAGTCTTGTGTTTTTTCTCATTACATTAATAAAAAAGCTGAACCTCAATGAAAGTTGCATCTGTTCAAAAGGGGAAAATAACCATATCAAGAAATATACTATCCTTTCTACATCACCAATATTACATACTTGAAGGCAAATAAAAACTGGAAAATTATCCTTTTAAAGCATCTCTTGTGATAAAAACCATAAGAAACAGCTATTGCTTTCCAAGGACTTACATTGTATAAATGCCTTTTTAGAATGTTATATCTCCACTGATCACTGACTTGGGAGAGAACAGCCAGGACAAAGACAAAGACACAAAACTGATAAAGAGTATCAGGAAGCATAATTTTTGTTATTCATCACCATTCAAGTTAAAGATATAAGAAACCCAGCAAATCACTGGATCCATCTGCCTGTCAGCAAGATAAAGTCCCTTTGCAAGCCATTTAGTATTAACACTTACTGAGGCAAAATCCAAGAGATTTTTGTAAATCTCCACAACTTGGCAGGAAAAAGAAATTAAACCCAATTCCGAGAAGTTACCAAAAACATTAGCATTTGCTCTGTAACAGCATCTTCTTCTGTAAAAGTCAGTTCTCTCTGGCACTAACCTGTATGAAGCCAAAGGTTCCCGAAATTCTACACGGCTACTTTTTTTCACATTGCTCTCGAGAGTGGTTGCACGAAGAGGACTACGAGAGGTCTTCTCCTTGCGTGACTTATTTTGACTGGAGGACCTGAAGGCTGAAGCAGAAACAAAGGAATTCTCTAAATACTACCATCTGCAAGAAGGGTAAGTTTATAGGGATGAATGATTTAGAATGCAATTTTCTTTGAGTTCAATTAACCCACCACGACAGAAGTTAAATGATCACCTTTGCTTCTCCAACAAGTGTTTTAAGCTACTAGGAGAAAGTAGTGAACACTCGAAGAAAATCACTGCGCTTGTTCTTTATCTCAAATCTGTAAAAGGATATTTTTAAAAACCTTAACTGAGAATGACTGAACCTAAACAAGTTATGTTGCTGTGCCTCAAAGATGCAATTCAAAATCAGTTTTCTTGTTATTCTGACCTGTCAGCAGTATATCTGAACCACATAAATCAAGCAAGGCGAACACTATTTTTTGTGCATGACTACATTTTCATAGTTAGTTTAAGCTCTAAGCCAAGGGTCAGCAACGTTTTTGGCCAGAGTGCCACAACACCCCAACCTTGACCTATGCCTTGACTTGATGCCAGAGGCAGACAACAAGGCAGCCCCATCCTTGTTGCTGGCAGCAAGTGCACACACATGTGGGCAGATGGCAGAGGCGGGGCTGAGGTTGCGTTGCCCCAGCACCTTCCCTGCGGCATGCCCTGAGGCACGTGTACACCCACTGCCACCATGGAGCCCAACCAGGGCTCCAGAGCCCAGTGCAGTTGTTTGCAGCCTCCCGGCTGCCTGCCACAACTGGCCTGGGCTCTGGGGATAGGGTGGCCACTGATGCAACCCCGGAATACAAGACATCCCCTTGGTAAGAAGCAGGCCCCCTCAGGCAATCAGCAGTGACAGGTGGGACCACTGCCTTAGCCAATCAGGAGCAAGAGGAAGGGCCACCACAAAAAGGGCTACCTCCCTCCCTCCTTGACTGGGAGCCCTGGTCTTTCTGGCCGTGCACTGCCCTAGGTCTAGTCTAGGCACAGCCAATAGAATCACAAGGGATTGACAAGTATTTCCACCAACAAACTGAAAAAGTCAGGTCCTCATCAAGAATTGGACAGGGGACAGAGTTTAAAAACAAGACAGTCTGGTATAAAACAGAATCAATGGTCACCCTATCTGGGCAACTGCTGCCTGCCACACAGCCCGGTCTGCTTGCAGCAGGACTTGCAGCCTCCCTGCTGCCTGCTGGGAGCAGCTCTAGCTGCATGGCCAGTGGCAGCTGCCCAGAGCCCAGGTCGTCTGTGGTGTGCTAAGCAAAATGGCCTTTGGTGCCGTGCTCAGATGCGTGTCAGGTGGTACCAACCCCTGTTCTAAGAAATAGACATTATATGTCCTTCTTCACTTTTCAATGTCTCCAATGCCAAGATTAACATCCACCTAAAACTCAAATGTTATAAGAGGAGTTACCCTAGTGAGCCAGTATTCTTGTTTTGTAAACCTACTAAAATAAAGTTATATTGTTGTTAAAGTGTCAAGAATTATATATAGTCACTCCAATGTAGCCACACACATGTGTAGCTGTCAACTTAAATGCCATGAGAAGAAGCTAATAGGTTATGCTGAACAATAACTCCCCCACAGCAACTTCCTAGCAAGTTTCAGACACCACCAGCACATGGGGGGAGAGGGGGAGGAGTGTGTGCATCTGCATACACACAGTGCTATGCTAATGCTATTTAGGTTGGAAGAATGTGTTTGTTTCCCTGAATTAATTCACAAATAGAGGAAATGGGGAGGTGGGAGAGAAGAGATTACAAAAATGAAACTGATCCTTCCCAGAATCATTATTCTTCCCATGCTCTACATGGTAATACGTACCCTTTCTGCTTATTTTCCTGGTAGCATTGGCAGAGGACTTCTTGGCATCCATGACAGAATCAAACACAGCAGTACTGGTGGGAACGACTTCCAATTTGTTCTCAATGTGACGCAGCTAGGATTTCAATGTATAAAACAATATTCAGTTTCAGTTGTTTGAACAATAAGACTATAGTTTTCTTTCTTGTATTTTCTTTTAAAAACAAAATAAAAGAAAAAAGAAAAAGCCATCTCTCACTTCTAAAATGGGAAAGCTAGATGCAAAAACAACTTAAAAACCCCAACAGTACAAAACTAATTGATCTTGTGACTTGAAACTACATTAGATTATATTCTTCTATAGATGGAGAGCGAAACAAGATTTCCCATATAAAACTACATCTTCTAATTCAGAGGTGGGCCAACCTGAAGCACTGATGCCACAAATGACACACATAAGATAGGGCATGAAGCAGAAAGCAAACCAGCAAATTGGGCAGGCAGCACAGGGAACGAAGCAGAAAGCAGAGAAGCAGAGCAGGCAGGGGAAGGGGATCCGAGAGGCACTTTGGAAAAATGTGAAGCTAATTTGTGGCACAGCTGCCAAAAAAGTTAGTCCCCACAAATCTAATCCAGCTCTTCAAATTGAAAGTGAAGCAGTTTGGGCATAATCAAACCTAGTTACAGAAATGCAGCAGCTTGAGTATGCATTTTAAGTTCCCACAGCAGGACAGCATTTTATTGCTTGGCACAGAACATGTGCAACCTGGGCAAATCTAGGATTTTGAAAGGGTAGGCTGGAGGGGAAATGCAAATAGTGCAGTGCATCATCACATACAATAAAAATAAACTAGAAGCTCTACTAATAAGCTACGGGCTAAGGGCTATATTAGTCAACCAAAACAAATACAACTTTATTGGAATGTGCATTAATTTGCTATATCATACAGTATTTATAAAAAACACAACAAACTATAATAAACAAAATATGTTGTTTCATTAGTCCTGTTGTCATGAAATGTGCATCTCTTTCAGCTTCAAAAAACAAAATCAAGCCTTCTTGAGCATCTTGACAGTGCATCCAATGCTTCACTGAAAGTTATTTCAAGACCTAAGTTAATGTTCATCTGAGTTAACATTTCTGTATCTGAGTTAATATTTCTAGCTAGAGTTAAAAGCAGTCTGCAGGGCTGTGAAATAGAAGCTACATTACCAAGAGCAGCTAACAGGCAGAACAAAGGATAAGTTGATTAGTGGAACACTTAAAAAGGAGAGAGGATCATTAACACCCGTGAAATAGAAAGTTTAGAAGGAATCAGGTAGACTATAATAAATCATGAAGTCAAGTGACTCCCTCACTGTTGCCTGAATAGAAGTGCTACTGCCATGCCAGACAGTTGGTTGTAAACATTGGGTAAAGCAAGAATCAAAGGGAGTGCAACTGCACTTCTGCTGGATCCACTCCTGCATGCAACAATTAAATAATATGTTGGTCTGCTGGCTCAAAGCCCTGATATGTGAATCCGTTTAGATAAAAAGGGGACAGACAGTTTCTTCAAAATGACTAGCAGAGCTCTGTGCAACTTACATGAGCAGGAATTCAGAAAATGACTTTCAGAAATTACTAGTAACTTCTAGGGCCCAACTTCCACTAAAACTGCAGTAGCCATTAATTGAGTTTAAAGCAAAAGAAAAAAAATACTTACAGCAGCCTTAGTTTGAGAAAAAGTATCCCATACTGCAGTTTGATCTCACAAAACAAAAATAAAAGAATAAAAACAAGTTTCCTATTAGTTCAAACAACACAATGAAACAAAGCATTTTAGAACAGTTTTGCATGGCTCATTGCCAGTTTCTTTTAAACAAGGTCACCACAGCCTGTGAAACTCCTGTTCAGATGAATACTGCCTAAAGATAACCTCATCCGAAAAGCAATGAAATCTTTTGATATTCTTCATCTGACTTTTATTAAATTTGATTGCTTAGTATAGTTTTGAGAGTTTCTTATTATACTTGAAGTTAGCTCTTCCATGTATTTTAAAGATGTATATAAAACCGGTTACACACACAGACAAGTTTCTGGGGAGTTTTCTTCTGTTCTCTCTCTCTTTTTTTAAATAAAGAAACCATCAATATAATGTCAAAGAAGATGCCACCTGGACTACAAGACCACCGCACATGAAAATTCATTTCAAGTGTCAATTTACATATTTCAGTTTTGCAGGCCAAACATATGCAAAAAATGTTTCCAGAGGGGCAACAGGTATATAAATTTTACTTACTTCAACCCCATAAACTAAACAGATGAGTCAGCTATTTTCACAAATCTAGTAATATTGTCAATATTACTGAAACAGTATTTACGAATCCCTTTTTCTACAAAATATTTTAATTAGCACTAAAAAAAAAATCTGCAATTGCCTGTTACCATACTATCCAAAATCCTCAGTCAAGATAAGGGCCACACTATGCTCTAGCAGAAAGAAGTCAATCTAATTTATGATGTAAACAACTTGGGGGGAAAGTGGGAAGGAAATAAGGGAAATAGCAACAAGAATACATTTACTGAGAAATTGTACCTAAACAACACCTTTTCAGAAGCCCTGAAAACCTGCAACTACATTTTATTCATTATATCTATAAAATATGACAACAATCTGACAATACATTTTTAGAAAACAGTCATAGTCAACTATGAGGCATTGCAGTTACCACACTATAGTATATACCTGATTTTTAGAGGCAAGGCATGCTCCTACTATCTGTAGTCCTCAAGTTGCTTATACTGCCTAGACCACATTTTAATGCAGATTTTGTATCATTTTTAATACAGATTTTTTGTCCTTTTGGGGGAAATAAAGCCTGAAATCAAGAACCCAAATCTATGAAATGCAATTAGAACTATTTGATATTTAAGCACTATCAACAAATGCTCTGCAAATGTGCTCTTCTACAGAAAAGCAAACTGGACACAATATGGTTTTCTCCTTTGATTCTAGTTGAAAAAATGTATCTACTAATTATATATACAAAATTAACAATACGATATTTCAAATCTTTTTTTCAATAAAATAATGCCACAAAGTAAATCCATACCTCTGGTGGAGTCCCTGTTCTGAAAATGCCTTGGATTTTGTAAAGGCACCTCCTTTGATTTGCTGTTCCACATCCTGTCAATTTACCTAGAAACAAACAAACAAAAAAAAAGCATTCAAGTAAAAATTATTTTTTGTACCAAATGAGAGCAAACATACTTCTCTCCAGATCACAACATCATGCAGTTATGAAATGAAGAATTCACATCACCAACATTCACATCACCAAAATGACAAGAGTGTCACTGAATGACAACAGTTGACAATGACAGTCATCAGAAAAACAACAGTAACCCACAAAAATGAATACAGCTTGTAAGTGTTAAAATAAAGGGGGGTGGGGGGGGAACAAGAGTGAACAACTTCTGTTGAAATAGTGATGTTACATGAATTTTATCAGACACAAGACAGAAAGTCACGGTGCAAGTTCCCTAGCTCTACAACACTGGCTCCCTGTAGAAAGATGGGTACAACTTATTAGTCTATGGTGATAAGCATTCTACTGAGTCTGAAGAAAACACTAAATCAGAGTTCCTCAGCCCATGGGCCATGATCCAAAAGTAGGTTGCAGGAATATATGAAAGGGTCACAAACAAACATCTAAAATGGAATCTCCTTTAAAGGAAAAAACATGGGAAACTGTGGCTTTTTCCTTGCAGGCTGGCAGTTTCAGCCTGCAAGGAGCAGCTTGCACTCCAAGCCCGCAATGCCCCACACACCCACCCCCTGCCCAAAACACTGGGGGGCCTGAGGGCGAAGGGCAGTGGGTCGGGAGTGAGGGGCACTTGGTTGGGACTGGTCAATGTTTACAAATGGGTCCTGGTAAAAAAAACCTTGAGAACCACTACACTAGATGACCCATATAATCAAAGATCAAGGGAGCATATTGAATGGGGGAACAGCATCTTCAATCACCTCTAAAGGAATTCTGTAAACCTCTGATGAAAATGCCTAGTGCCCTGCCAATGAATGAATTAAATGAACTAAAACTGACACTGAATATGTCACATTCTTCTTATAGTTTCATAGTTGATAGGGTCGGAAGGGACCTAAGCAGATCAAGTCCGACCCCCTGCCATGGGCAGAAAGAATGCTGGGGTCAAACAACCCCAACTTGATGATTACCTAGCCTCCTTTTGAAGTCCCCCCAGGGTAGGAGTGAGCACCACTTCCCTTGGAAGTTGGTTCCGGATCCTAGCCACCCTGACTGTGAAGTCCTGCCTCTTAAGATCTAGCCTGAATCTACTCTCAGTCAACTTATGGCTGTTATTCCTTGTTACTCCTGGTAGTGCTTGGGAGAACAGTGACTCTCTCCCATAGCCTGCTGGTCCCCCTTGGCCAGTTTGTAGACGGCCACCAGATCTCCTCTCAGCCTTTTGTGGAGGCTGAACAGGTTCAGGTCCCGTAGCTTCCGCCCATAGGGCTTGCCTTGCTGCCTCCTGATCATGCAAGTGGCCCTCCTCTCGACCGTCTCAATGCTGGCCACATCCCTCCTGAAGTGCGGCGCCCAAAACTGGACACAGTACTCCAACTGTGGCCTGACCAGTGTCGCATAGAGGGGGAGGATCACCTCCTTGGACCTGCTTGTGATGCATCTGTGGATGCATGACAAGGTGCGGTTAGCCTTCCTGACCGCATCCCCACATTGGCAGCCCATGTTCATTTTGGAATCAATAATGACTCCAAGATCCTTTTCTGCCTCTGTGCTGACGAGAAGGGAGTTCCCCAGCCTGAAGGTATGCTACTGATTCTTCCTCCCCAGGTGCAACGCCTTGCACTTGTCAGTATTGAAACCCATCCTGTTCTCATCCGCCCACCCCTGTAGACTGTCCAGATCTAGTTGCAGCCTGTCCCTCACCTCCAGCGTGCCCACTTCTCCCCACATCTTAGTGTAAGCTGCGAATTTGAACAAGGTGCTTTTCACTCCCTTGTCCAAGTCGCTGATGAAGATGTTGAACAGTGCAGGCCTGAGGACTGAGCCCTGGGGAACCCCACTGCCCACATCCCTCCAGGTCGAAAAAGACCAGTCCACCACCACTCCCTGGGTGCGGCCCTCTAGCCAATTTGCGACCCATCTGACTGTATAGGCATCAACGCCAGCGTCGCCTAATTTTTTAATGAGAATGGGGTGAGAGACAGTGTCGAAGGCCTTCCTAAAGTCCAGAAAGACTACATCCACCGTGACACCTGTGTCCAAGGATTTTGTGACCTGGTCACAGAAGGCCACCAGGTTGGTCTGACAGGACTTGCCTCTAATGAACCCATGTTGGTTGCCCCTAAGCATGATCTCCCCTGCTGGTCCCTTGCAGATGTGCTCCTGGATAATTTTCTCAAAGAGCTTCCCCAGGACCGAGGTAAAACTAATGGGCCTGTAGTTTGCTGGGTCCTCCTCCTCCCTCCTTTTTTTGAAAATGGGGACCACATTGACCCTTTTCCAGTCCTCCAGCACCTCGCCAGAGCACCATGAGTGCTCATAAAGCTGTGCCAAGGGTCCCGCAATGACCTCTGCTAATTCCCTCAGCACTCTGGGGGGGAGATTGTCAAGGCCTGCTGATTTGAACACGTCTAGTCCCACCAGAAGTTCCCTGACTAGGTCCTCACTGACCCTAGGCCTGGCAGCACCTCCCCTGGGAACGTCGGAGATCCTGGTTTGGGGGCTGCCCTGGTCCCTGCTCAGAAAAATGGAGGCAAAGAAATTGTTAAAGAGGTTAGCTTTGTCATCTTAAGAAGTAATGGTCTGAAGTTTGAACAAAGTAAAAAACAAGTAACAATAAGCAATCAATTTCAGAAGGAGGTTTAGAAGTTCCCACATTCAGTAACATCTTTCAAACCAGAGAATCTGGAGAGTCCCCAGAGACATAACATTACCTGGAGGCAGCTTCATTACAGGTCTGCCCAGCAGAAACTGAATGCAATCTCCTCTTAGCTAGAAGATATCTTACTGGGCATTAAATCAAAGAGAGATTTGGGACAGGGTAAAAACAGAACCAAGATTTAAGTTGACAGAGGAACAAACTTTCTGAAGGTTCTAGACATCAGAGCTTAAATTAACTCTCCAAAGCCAGCAGCCATCCAACCTGAGTTACTCGAGACTGACCAAAAAACCCTCAACATGTTTACCACTGCACGCACAGTATACCCCCAATCTGAGCACGGGGCAGGGACAGGCTATCCGCTGTGAGCTTGGGATCCCTGCTCTGCTGCCTTCCCCCCTGGGGCCTCCACAGCCCAGCAAGTAGGACCTGGCATGGCAGGGCAGGGCCAGGCTAAGTTGGGGAGCTCCTTGCCACTGTAAGTCCTGCACCGCCCTGGCAAAGCACCCCCTGCCCACCTGGCAACAGCAGGGGTGGTTGCATGGAGTTATGCCCCTCGCTGCTGCTGGGCAGGCAGGGGGTACCTCACCATGACAGCACAGAGCTCCTAGTGGTGGCACCAGGCTTTCCTGCCCAGCCCCACCATGCCAGGTCCCACCTGCTGAGCCGTGGAGGCCCTGGGGGAGGGCAGCAGGCTGGGGAGCCCAAATCCACAGCGAGCAGCCTGCCCTCCCATGGACTCCACTCTGACGGCGCCACCCTCAGGGGAGGAGGAACCGGGCTCCATGCTCCGCAGGCAGCAGCTGGGGCTCATCCCCCTGCGCCCTGCAGCAGTACCTGAGGACCCAGGTCCCTGGCCTCGCAGCCCTGGCAGAGGGGGCCCCCTCCGGCAGGGCTGGGGAGACTGTGGGTGGGGAGGGGCACCAGCAGGGGTGTGGGGGCTGTGGCTTGGGAGTGAGAGACCTGGACCTGTGTCCTGGTGAGTGAAGGGGGAGGGGGACCTCTGATTTTCCGTGATAAAAAACCCAAAATCAAATACCAACATTTATAGGTACTTAGAATTTATGTTATTATAGTGTTTGAGGGACTGGTAGGCTTCCAAACTGCTTTAACATTGTAAATATATCAGTAAAACATTGTGTTCAATTGATACAGATACGGTGGCATTTCATTTTAATTGCGGATTTTGGGGTTTTTAATCAGAGAATCTGCAATTTTTAAAAACAGAGAAAACCAGGATCCCTAATAATCATGTATGCCACAGGTTGCCAACCTGCAGCTTGAGTGTAAAATGCGGTACAGGAAACCTCTGTATGTGGCATGCAGCAGATCAGAGATGGGGTGGGATGGCGCAGGCAGCAAGCACAGTGGCAGATAGATCAGGGAGCAGAAAGCAGAGCAGTAGATCAGGCACAGGAAAGGGATTGGAGTGGCTCCTGAGGAAGGTAAAAGGTTTAATGTGTGACCCCCATTGATGTATGCTATGCATTTTTAAATCCTTTTATAAACAGCAGATTAAAAAAATCTTTGAAATTGTTGCTTGTGCTTTACATCTTCAACTGCAGATGACAGCTAATAATTAAGGACATGACAACACTGAGTATAAAAGCACACCTCAGCCTCTGGATTACTGCTCCTATTGTTTGCAATAAGAGACAGATGTGCCTAGCTTCCTCTGTAAAAGTGGTTCTCAACCTTTTTCATACTGGGACCCATTTGCCAAGATCTATGGCTTGTCCCAATCCATACCCTCCTAGCCCTGCCGATGCCCAACCCACAGTCCCCTGTCCCCGTCCCAGGTCCAGTTAGCACCCCTGACGCCCAAGCCACAGTGCCCTGGTCCTGCTGGTGCCCCTCACCCACGAGCCACAGCCCCCTGCCCATGCTTGTGCCCCTCACTCCCAATCCCAGTTCCCTGTTCCCCTCCCCCCATCCCTGTCAAAGGGGCCCCCAAACTGCCTCTATCCCACTCAGGCCAGAGCGCAAACAGCAAGTGCAGGCCCCTGCATATACGGGCTCCGGCCCAGGCATGCAGCTCCCCACTGTGAAAGGTCGTCCCTGCCTCCTTCTCTGGCTGATGGGCAGGTGCCTTATCCTCCCCCGCCCACCCCAGCCACCGTCCTCAGCAGGCAGGCATACACAGGACACACACATCCCCAGCCCTCTGGACGGTCCCCGGACCTCCATCCTCCACTCCCCATACTTACCCCATACTTGCATTCAGCGGCTGGGGCTGTTTATGACCCAGTCTCACTCTATGCTGATCACATGCATCTGCATGTGCAGACGCACATGCACCCGCTGCTTCCACTCATGCTAAGCAGCCGCTTGCAGGCTGGAACACTGCCAGC